CCTCGGGCATATTCTTTCTGCTCCGCTTGTTGTTTAAACCCTTTCCCCGTCTGATTTCCGTTTTTTCTATCATTCAGTTTTGTGTTACGTTAACCATGCCTTCCATTCTACCTATTTTCTGCCCGATTCCTAGTCTACGCTTACCAAAGTCCTTTTCAAACTGGCGTTGCGTTTTTTATACGCACTATTACATTACTAATAACTAAGAAAGCTGGCAATTTTTTTTAGGGCGAAAGGTTAATAGATATAAATCTCGTTAATCCTATGCCTACCCAACGTTTCTGTCCTGAGATTACACTTCTTCCCCGTTAATTCCTCCTACACTTCTTGCCCCACACTTCCCGTCTGCCTTTTGATTTCACCGGAGGAGGCCCTATTGTTACACTATATCCCTACTTTCAATTCTTCTCTTCACTCCATACTCGCATCCTATTTCCTAAACCACTTCCCATGTTATTAAATCAACGTTACGTCTATTCTATACATTATTACATCAACAGCTAAGAAAGTGCTGACAATTTTTCTAGGGTAAAGGGGTTATATAACATTAGTCCCGTTGATCTCATTCCCAGAACTGCCATATCCCAACAGAACAAGTTAACATCGAAAAGTCATGGGATGCGCGTTTTTCTGGGTCTACTAACTTGACCTAACATAATGGCAACTAGCAAGTCGATGTCGAGGCATCATATAGTGCGAACGAGGGTGACTTTAACAAAGATTATAAGGAGGTCACTAAGCAAGTTAGCTAGCTACAAGTTCGCCATAACGAAGGTGTGGTTTTTAGCGAGAGCTACGTAGAGGCTGCATCCATTCCCAAAGGCGGGTATTTTGGGGGTATTTCGGTCCTTGGATTGTACGGATCGCGAGCCTAGGTCCTTTACTGATCTCTTAGGAGAGCAGAGGTTCTCAGATCATGGTCTGATGATTGCCTGCACACAAACTATCACCTTTCGTGAAAGCTAGACCCTGTCAGGTACTGCGGGCTGTCCATTGTTGGATTGGGCTAGTGTTTAATATGAAGGAAGTCTAGATCTGGGTATTTGGGATTCTGGATTTGCGAATTTGGTGTCCCTAGAAACAAGGCATTTGGGAGGCAAGGTTTCGGATTAAGGTGTCTCTTGATACCCAAGAACATGGTATTTTTTTAAAGGCGGGCCCCTATTAGGACGTATACCCTGATAGGGTATCTCCAAAACTCCACACGGCGCCTAGGTATCCAAGCACAAGGCATTACACGGAATATTTATAAGCCTCGGAAACTATGCAATACGTGTCGATAAAGGAAACCAATGAGAGTTGGTAAGTTTAAGGAGCGGGTGCGTGGTTTAGTTTAACAGTGAACCAGACACCGTCCCTTACAACAAACCACGCCTTACCGCAACAGCATTTCACTGGATGCCGCACCCCTGTCAGAATGGCCCCTTCTCACAACAGAATGGACAAGGAATCGATCTGTTGAGTGCCGGCTAATATAGCCATTTGTCAAAGGCATCATACTTCGGGCAGGACCAAGTAATAACAGAGATTAGTGAATATCAAAAGCTAGAAAGGCCAGTTCTTGGGCAGTCCGGATAGATTCGCCTTTTGGCCAGTTTGGTTCAGTCTACTTAATTTTACAACAGAGGAAACACGTAGAACACATAAGGTACCAAGGACATAAGAACCGGAACTATGAAGCTGCAGTGGTTTAATCCCAAACCGCATTTTAAAAACAATAACACTACATAAAAAAGGATCTGGGTCAATAGGCACTGCCGCTAGCGCCTGGATAGAACGCAGACAGAACAGTGCAGAAAAGGCACAGGGAACTTTAATAATGAACAGCGTAGTATGTACTAGTACCGAAATTATATACCCAGATCAAGTGCGGTCAGGGTATCCTCTTTCCAGGATAGTCAACCAAGTAATCACAAGGTCAAATAAGTACTGGACCTTCCATCTTTTTTAAAATATAAGCCAAACATTTCCCTACCACAAAGATTATTATAACGGATTCGGATATCAACGAAAGGTCTTATATATCATGGCCTGTAGCATTAAAACGCCCCAATTAGGTTTTGGGCACCTCTCGGAATTTAAGGATATCAGTAAGGCATCAAAGACCAATACCGTACACCTAGTGGCAACCACAACTGCTGAAATACCTCCCACAGCGTAAGCAGGAGATGGTATATACCGAGGGAGATGGAGCAATAATATCAAGATCAATTGTGTTCAAGACAAAATAACATCACCATCTAAACACATATGGAAGAACTAGAAGCCAAGATTATAACATGGCAAGAAGCAGTCTGGGTTTGCGGCTGTGTGTATCTGAATGCCTACTTGAACCTATACATAGTCCAGTTCAGTCTAGCATCCCTCAAGACGACACCTGGGTAATTACAACCCCACGCCCGGGAAATCTTACTCACCCGTTCTCCTCTAAAATTAATGCGATCAGGATCCCAATGGGTCCGTTGATAATGAGGTTCTCAGGGCGCAATTAGAAGGTCAATGATTGAGAATACAAGATATTTCGTGCCAAGTGTAGCACGAGTAGAGGTGTGGGCAGGGAACAACCATACCTGTCAAAAACAGTTAGATCGGTCTTGTCCTGCCTCCAGAAAGGATATGAAACCCTATTGACCCGGTCTGTCTTCCTCATATATTTTATTCAACAGTCTACAATTGAGGCTAGACTCGGGGCTCAAGAAAAAGACCTCGAGAAGGTTCGGTTCACTGGATAATAAGACTTGCTTTTAATAAGCTGAAAGTTCAAATCCAAGGCCCGAGCTATCTAGATAGCCCGTGGGCCGTGGGATCCCGTATTAGAATTAGACTGTCTTTCTACATCTCATCAGAAAAAGGCGTACCCAACAACGCCTTGTCTGGAAAGCCACATAGAAGAACAAAATGACCATATCTGTAATAAGGGGCCAATATTCCAATTTAATAAACTAGGTTATGTGGTTGAGGTCTTAACTTAATTAACCCCCGCCTGTTATGACTGCTAATGGGTTAGGTGTCAAAGCATGGAAGGTCAAGTTAGAGAATTGACATCGGACATAACTGATAACTTTGAAATGTATGATCGCCCCTCAAGTTATGGCCATGTCCTTTTCCTTTGGACGGTTGCCAGGTTTGTGGCTTTCAGATAGCTAGTTTCATGCCCAGATGTTACGCGCAGTTTGCGCGTGCCTAGAATAAACCGAAACCAGTCCGCGGGCACTGCGCAAGAGGCAACCGTGCCTATTTGCTGGGCACGTGATCCCGGCTCAACACTCAATGTGCTCTGTGCTTCTCCGAAACTGTGATCGCTTCCTCAAGGCGTGGAGATGATCTGTTGATCACCAGACGACTTTAGTTTTATGAGTCCTGTTGCGCAATGGCTTGGCCAGTGTTGAATTAAGCATCGTGGGGGGGTACGAGTGACTATCGGTGAGGATATTCATTACCACCCAGGCTAAAAATGGCAATTTCTTCCCTCATGAGGTCGGACACTTGAGAGATAAGTTGCTGGGCCAAGGTGACTGCTTTTCGGCGCCGGAAATATGTGCAGAGAAGCTGAAGATAGTGTTGCTTTCGACGATGAAACCTACTAGCTAGCTACGTTAACCTGAGCACAGGATCTCGAAATTTACTTTTTCAAGTGTAGAAGTGCAGTTATACTCTACGCTAGCTCTTGATAGCCCGTCGATCGGTACGTCTACAACTATGGCACCACAATACCGAAAAGACCCCAAAATCAGGCCATTGGTACACTTACAGAGTATGGCCCCGAATTTCTCCAGCTTCATGTGGGGTATTCCACATGTGGTGGCCATGGCCGTTGCTTATCTTTGTGGAATATCTATGTAGTGGTGGGATTAAGCTTCGGGAATATATTGCTACACTGGGTGCTGAGTCGATTGGACAATCGGAACGCCGAGACATTATCGGCATGCGGGGTTCTTAACGGCAGCTCTTGGCTCATGGCTGGTCGGATCACCTGAACTGCTGTGAATATCTGGAGCGGACAGTAATAGATAACGATAAAGTAGAGACCTTTTGTGATTGGAAAGAGGCGTTTGTAGGCCACAATTGAATTATTAGCCGTGGGATGTTATAGGTTGTCAGCTGTTTGTTTCGTGATCAGGACTATGAAGCTACATAGACATGTTTGTGTTATATACGTGCACACGTAAAAACTTTGATCCGTGCCGATGATCGACCCCAGTCCCGGGTTACCCAAAAAAAAAAACGGTAAACATGCAGATGAACACCTTTCGGGAGTTTATTGCCTGGGCATGACTCGCGTACCTTGCAAAGACACAAGAGCAAGCAAACCTTCCATCTCCCTCTTAGCTTCGTCGACACTCTCCTATCCTATACCATCCTATCCCTTATCAATTGGCATTTAGACCGAATCAGCTCTGGATGAATCCCAAGACTCTTTGGAAAGTACCACTCTCTGTGAAGCTAGGTACTTGGAACCATTAGAATTGGACGGTTGCGTTATCAATAATCCTCGCCCAAGAAGAGAGATTCTTCCAAGTGAGTCTATGTTCAATATTACCCCTTATACATGAAGGCTAACCAGTAATACCTACATGTAGGTCCAAGGTCATCGCCATAGTTTTCACCGCTAATAGAAAACCTAGGCGAATATTGTTCCAAGGGATTACCACCTCAGAGTCTTGGGGTAGTCTATCGATTTCAATATCTTAAAGCTCGAGCGCTCGCTTACTTTACCAAATTGACCGGACCAAACTACCTATTGAATGGCTACAAAGTGTCGTTCCAAAGGATGTCACATCCGGTCGTATCCCCTCCACACGGGGAGAAAGCTAAAAAGACATCGGCCTGTGTACGGAAATAAAGCCAAGTTCGAATCACGAACCGGTAATAACAAGCTTGAGAACAATGTGCTTTCTTCAAATAATCTCTGGCCATCTCTGTACTACCTGTACATTTATTTATCTATACAAGACGGTCTTCAGAAACAACAGAACAAATTTACTGTGATTAGGCCTGCTTCATAGGATTAATCCTGCAGGTATTCCGCGGTACTCGAAGTTTGCGAGGACATTGTTACCAATTGGGCGGCCGAGCGAGAAGATGTTCACCGCGTTTGAAGGACCTGAAATTAGTTAGTACAGTCACTCACGGGGTGAAGGTGGATCCTGTCTGATGGCGGTCAGGGATTTGAGGCCAATAACAGAGTTAACCTTGGGACGCCAAGGGGAAATTACTGCAAACACAACCATCAGACAGGATCCGCCGTCACTAGGTGAGCGACTGTACCTTAATTTCTCCAGTCTGGCTAGGGCGAGATGAGGGGCTCCAAATTGGAAACGTCTGTAAATAGAAATTCTGGTGCGGGGAAATTTTAGAGTAAGTGATATCAGTATGTATGGTTCATAATCCTGAAATTCGGGCGCTAGTAACTTAGAAGTGGCCAGAAAACCTGAGGACTCTGTTCCTGATACACAATATCGATCTCTTCAATTTCTACCATCTGCAGTGCTAGCCATCCATGGATAGATGTGCAATGTTGGATTTCTTGGTCCACGGACCCCATGATATATCAACACCTCGTTGAAAGCATCTCACTGTTTCACAATCGAGGTTGTGATATTCCAAGTCCCGCATACACATGTCTTCTCAAGTAATGTTCGGGGGCTCTTTGCTGGCCATTTAATCCAGGCGAAATAGTAGGGCTATATTCGCATCCTTGAGACTCATGCTCGCTTCGATCTGCCCCTGTGACTGACTGTCAATCAAGCTGGTTTCCTCAAAATTAACAGAGACAAGATGATACTTCTCCCTGCATAGACCAAAAACCCTAGAGCAAGCGATTTGGGCAAAACGTGTCTCTGCCTACAGCTGGGATAAGGTGTAGTAGATATAGTCTACCATGACAAGACAAACCACTTTCAAAGCTACATATCGTGTTTGGGAGTTTGGTTTTGAGATGGTAATCTCGTTAATTTCTACTCGGCTCCATATGGGATCTAATCGTGTGTAGGGGATCGTACCGCGCTGGAATCTAGATAGATAAACCAATATTACTGCTCTCAATTGACTCTGTCGCACATGTAGTCATCCTTTGCAAAACACAGAGGCTGCCCACAGGCTGCAGGGTGAGCAGAACTTTCAAAAAAGCAAGCAATCATATCATCAAAGGCGGGTCACACGGCGGCCAATAAACTCCTATTGGTTCTAATAAGATTAAGAGCAACATGGCTCAGTGAGAGATAAAGCCAGAAACCGCATATTGATTCAGGTTGATTGCTATTGCCTCAATATTCCCTGTGCACAAAATTTCAGGCCTCTCAAACAGCATATTGATTCAAGTATTCTTATCAGCACCAAAACAGGAAAGCCATTCCCTGGTATCTATGTGCCGCGGAATGGTCAGACTACAAAGCGGCCGTAGAGTACTAGGATGAGGCTGAAACCCCACGAAAAGGTTCCGAAGTTTGGTAGCGAGAAGTTAATCCTTGCGCACACTGACAATTATTTTTGCCTACTCGATGTGCTCGGTATAGATCCAGCCAGTAGCATCGGAAGTATGTGATATCCAGGGGACACCTCGATAATGGTCATTCGCAATGTGGTTGGGGCTGAAAGGGCTTGCATGAGCTTGCATGGGCGTCGAAAGTTTGGTATGAGATAAGGTAGTCTATAGACAGCTGGCAGTCAATTCATAATTCTTGGTAGGAAGTCCAAATTCTATCGGCTGAACAGTCAAATAAGATCTCACTACTAGCGATGCCGAATATTTTATTGCCCACGTGACCTACCACTCTCACACTTCACACCAATACAACAGTCACGTGGGCAATAAAATTTCCGGCATCGCTAGTACAGTCAGTTGCAACTACGCAGTAGTACGTACCAAGCGAAAGAGGGGTCTAGACAACATATACAAGATCACCTCAATGCAAGGGACTTGATTAGAATACTGTCCAATGTCAACAGTGAAAGCATATCATTTCCACCAAGACAAAGAACAAGTGCATATTGTAACTCTAGCGGTCGATTGTTAGGGCTGGATCTTGGGGCGGCTTTTCCCGAGTTAGTATTCAGCCGGGAGCGCGGGTTAATCCGTTTCTAAAAATCGCATATGTCTCTCTAAGACTAATAAACGACCCGAGTACCGACACACAGGTGTCGAATCTTTGGTTCTTGGATGAATTGCTAGTTAGACCCCACATGGCGCAGAGGTAGGTAGTTACAACACCTTCAACGGATAGAAATATGTTGAGGAAAATAACTAAACGGCCATGTGAGGCACCAGGTCTACTCTAAGTGACCTTCAAAACGCAGGTGCCACCAAAAAGCTCAAGCCCCTCGCTGGCTTACACCCTGACATCAATTTGGCACGGCATTTGTTCACTCTATTTCAAGCAACACGGAAAGGTGAACCCAGTTCAAAGGAATATTTCGCTTGGCCTGCTGGTTTCTTGCCCTTCTAATTCGTCCATCAGCAGAGTGTTCACTCAGCCCCCAGTTAATTGCTAAAATACTCTTCGCAACGGCACGCCCAAATTAGTCAATGTGCGGTCGAAAAATTATCCACGAATAACATTTGCGTAATGCTGTTCATTCACTTTTACTCTAGATTTTAACAAGGCAAGCTGCGGCACGCTGGAAAGAAAAAAAAAAAAAAAAAAAGACGCTCGGATACCAGAAAGCTCAAGAGCCGGGATGATTGCCGTGCGCGTGAGTGCATTCCGGCCCATCTACGTTGGCTTCATACTTGATATGATATGAACCCCTCTCTTTTTGGGTTTATATCATTTCCGCGGAGAGGACATGGCGATGGGAGGTAGAAAGAAGGTATTGTGGAATGCGCACGCGACTTACCTACTTCGTACCTCGGAGGGGTATTTGAAACTTCGGATATTTTTATTGTATCTACATGAGGGACTCCGAAGTGAACTCAAACCCGACCACGCGGTTTACGCAAGGTGGTGCGATATGTCCCTAGCTATTCGTGCACCTATAACTACTCTGTCTACTGACAGGAAAATCCTCGAACAACTAGACTCTAGAGACATGGTATGATACGCCCGAATTTGAGTTACGGAGAGAGTGAATATGTTAAGAGGGAGAAATTATATGTATGACCTGCGACAACTACACACGATCTTCATGATATATCACTCGTCGGTGAGATCCGTGTATATATGGCCTGATCTTTCGGTGACGTTCGAGTAGCGTGTAAGATTTCTTCTTTTCCAATTACTTTAAGCTTGATTAAGGGGATGATCCCGAGAAGAGAATTTTCTTATTTGCTCTTAGGGACATGGTATGCATATGTGAGTATGTAATGTATGTATGTATGTGTGTGCGTGTGTGGTGTGTATCCACTCTACTAAGTAACTTGTAGTTAATACTCAACTTTATGGTAGGCAGGGTTTGTAGACTATAACCTACCATATAATAAACATATGTAGAAAAAACAGGTAGTAGTAGCAGAAGAACAGGAAGCTCACGTGTACGATGCGTTTATGTAACGATGAACAAACAAGTAAGCCCAGAGCAGAATGGAGTCTCTCTAAAAAGCAAAATTTGGTCCTAGAGGAAGGAAAAAAGCAAGCATAAAAAGAAAACAATAGAGAGATGTCTATTATGATCCATGACCCATCAACAGGAGATATACCTGTACCACCGCAACCAATAGGAGAAAAGCTCAACAATCATCAACAATCACTCGATCGAGTTTGGCCTACCATCCAAACTTCTCCGTGACGATCCTAACGTCCAGCCCCCGTCTCATCATCCCCGCACACGAATTTCGTGTATCACGAACCATGCCTGAGGGACCACAAACAACCACACCCATGGAACCACACCCACGACCACCATCGCTCCTCGAATCACATCCTTGACTACTGCTCCTCAAATCACACCCCACACCCTCGACCACGTCCTCCATTTTAGGCCGCTTACCGACGACAACGTTGCCTTGGGTTACATGTGTCACAATTTCCACGCCCAACTTCCTTAGATCCTCTAATTCGCCACCATGTAGCCAGGACAGCTGACATTCCTCCCTCACGACCCAAACCATAACGATTCTCTTCGGAGCATCATTTCCTCTCACCAGGCTTGTCCCGTGTTCTTCATCCCCGGTACTAGTGATAGTGATGGCAAGCTCGTGCACAAGAGGATAGATGACAGCAATACCACTGCCGCCAGCAACCAGTAACGCCACATCGGAGTCCCGTAGACACTCATACGCGAAGCAGGACCCGTAAGGTCCGTCCACAATTGCGGTGAACTCGCTAAGCCCACTACCAGCTGCCTCAAGTAACTTCTTTGAGAAGCCATCGCGGGCACGGATCAAGAACTCCAGAGAATTGCCTGGCGTCGACGCTATGGAGAATGGGTGGGGGTGCAGATACGCCACAGAGGGAATGGAGAGAAATACGTGATCTCCAGCGTGCCATTTCAACGGGCTGCTGGGGTTCGGACGAAGGGTGACGCGGACAGTCTTCTTATCTGGGAGAATCGTAACTGTTCCAGTCGCCCGCGTGGAGCGGATTGTAAGGCGGAGGACAATTCTGTCGGTTACGAAGATGAATATGCAGACCAAGACATAGGGACGGGAGCCCTTATGATGGAAATAGAGAAATGCTAGTGCGAATATCTGAAAGAGGACATGGACGAACAGGAACACCTCGTAGAAGGCGTTTCTGAACTCCTCTTTGGAGGTGACGCCGATGAGGAGGTAGGAAGCCCAGGCTAGTAAACCGAGAAAAATGGCTGGGGTTGACACGAATTGACGGAATGAGAGGAGGTTATACTTTTTTTTTGAAGGTTTCAGTAAATAGGACATGGTGTGAGTTTCATGGAATCATACCAATGTTTTATCCCAAACCCATATGAAAGTTGCAAAATGTCCAATAGCAGTCGTGATACAAACCCTCCCGACAGCTCTATGAAGCACATTAAGTTGTTCGTAACTCCACCCCGTGAGTAACTTAACCGGGCAGTTCTTAGCGGCCATCAAGTATAGCAGTGGCAGGTTTGAAACAAAGACAAGGCCAAGCCGATCTGCGAAAACAAACATCTTCAACGGATGAAATGGAATTCTATGGAATGCATAAAACACGTTCAAAGCATAGTAGCAGGCGGTTACAATGCATGTCGAGATCGGCGGATACTGATAAGATAGACCAAATAATTTAATGTGAGTTGGTTGGTACACTAGTACCCCACGAATACAATAAAGAATCGATAACGGTTTTATGCCCTTAGCACCACCACTACCACGAGATTTCGGGATAAGCGGTTTTCTTTCATCGTTCAACGGAGTACTCGTGCCTGAGGATGAGGGGTCCGATAAAGAAGCACTTGTCAACCCCCGGCGAATGCCTGGTGACGATGATAGACACCTCTTCCTTAAAAATCTGTTCACTTGATAAACAGCGGTTATGGCCAAGAGACAGCCCAACAGGACTAGGTTATATGACTTGATGAAAGATCGGGAGAATAAAACACATCTGACTATTTCTCTAAAAAAGGAGACTCCGGGGTTGCGTGGGGGAGGTCTGGTAGGGGCATCTGAATTTGCACTTGAGATGTCGAGATCACCTTTCTCCGAGGAAGATAATGTTGATATTGGGGACAATATGTGCGATGTAAACTCGAATAACTTGTCCGACATTGACAAGCGGATAAGAGCTCGTAAATCGACATCTCCGTCCTGAATAGGGGGAGCAGCAGTCTCAGTCATGGAGGTAAGATCGTCTTTTGAAACCTAGTGCAGGATAATTTTGTATGTATCCGGAAGAAGGAGCCTATGTACGGTGTATAAAAAGAACAGTTATTAATTTTATTATTATTTATTTTTGCCTTGTGCGTGCCGGCCGATTCGTGACTGAGATGGTTTGAAAGATCTTGGACGTCGAACAAGTACCTATTGCCATGCATGCGGCCCAGTTGACAGTGGTAAGGGAGGTGGCGATGAGGTTATCAGATCGTTTGAGGCGTCTGGGCAGCATATCTACTATTCCTATTCCATTCGATACAGCAATTGATCCCTAGCCGATATCGGATGTTGGAATCCGGGGCAGGCCCAAGGAGCAATCACCCCTACCAGATACTCTATTATCCCATCCCCCACGTAAGGTTTTCCCCCACGCCTCTCCACATGATCGGATCCGGCAAGCAGACTCGTATGTGGAGTAGTAAATATCAACTCGAGGACCACTCAAATCTGCATGTTGAGTAGAGTACTTGTACGAGAAGAGCAATCCTCATGCGCACCCCCTGTATCTCCAGTATCAAGTTAGGGACGGAGCATGATCATTGTCAAAGCCTTGCCTTGTCTTGTAAGACATCAGAAAAGGTCTGTTTACTCTCATAAACCATAACTCGGAAAATGAGTCCGCGGTTGCAATTGACCTTATATTTGAATATTTCTTCTTTCCTACAAGTTTGTGCCATCAGTGAACGTTAAAGCCGGGATACTTCTTTTGAGGGGAAGATAGAGGTTCAGTGAGATGCCGCTGGTGCTGAATAACATTAGACCGAATCAACATCTTCGGGATGGCTTTGGCTGCGGGTTTCGCAGCCGGGTCAAAAGAGGCGCCTAGCCAGGAGAGCTAAACATCGTTGGGTCGGTGTTTTGACAGCAGCCGGAAGAGCCATACCCCTCGGCGGGATAAATACGAATGGAATACTAGTACGATAGACGAGGTAGACGAATATTTAATCTCTTTATGGAATGAGCTTAAGCAGGATACGGAGAACGACCAATTGATGCCGATGGTCAACGGAAGTGGTGTTCTTTGATGACATGTACTTACGGCGGGAACTAACAGCCATTACCACGAGGCACAGTAGGTACATCTGTGCATTCGTAAACGTAGTACCTATATCCCAAGCTTACCCTTCTATTCCACGAGATGCATTCCCACAGTGGAATCGTCCAATCAGTCCGACCATATCTCAATATTCATTTCTTTCTTCCCCTGACTTGCACTCCTTTGAATTCCGTGCTACCTATCCCCTCTAGAATCACGGTAGAAGACCTGAGTTCCATTTCGACATGCACGCGGTATGAAGGGTGCCGTCGTTTCGGTAGTTTACCAACAAACTACCGCATCATTGTTCCAAATGGGTTCCAAGGAAGCTAGCCCCAGCCCTTTACAACATCTTAAACAAACAAACAAATTGATTGTGTAAATATCTTACTGGCCGGTCATACAATAGTTGATGATAATGCCTACAAGGAATATCCCAGCCACCGTCCCTATTAGCCGGAAGATCCGGGGGGGTAGACAGGTAGGAGCGGCTCCGAGAGGTTGCACTCTATGTATGTAGGTTCTCTAAAGTACTCTACGCTTAGCCGGTCACAGATTGGCTCGTACTACTCCGTCTGTACCTGCCTGAGAGCGGGCAGGTTGTGTTGGATCGCTGCAGGAAGGGGAGACCCAAGGGCTCGGTTTCGTGATTTTGTAGGGTCAGTTTTTTGACATGAAGATTGCCCTAAGCTACCACGCGAACCTACCCTAAACTCCCCTAATCAAGATACCCCTAACTTACATGTACCTAACCTCAACTAGAGTATCTATTTTCCAACTACATACATGTATGTACGTTTAACTACTCGCAATTTCACAGCGTTTCCGGACGCAACTGCTATTGCATACACAGAAAAAACCCGCCAAGGCTATCTTTTGTATGGCATGCAATAGTGGTCGCGTCCGGAAACGTCAAAAAACTACGAGTACATAGGTACTATGTTCAATTACATATGACGAAATCTAAATCATACAAAAATCGATGAAATGAGAGAGGGCCTATGAGGAGCACATGTGTTGATACGACGTGACGTGACGGGTGCGGGACCCGTTCCGTCTTTTGTATGATCTCTCTTCCTACCTTATTTAATTACATCTCAGCCCCAAACAGCATGTGCATCTCAAATTCTGAGAAATTCCTCATCAGCTGGTGAGTTCGTTACTAGCTTATGTAACTTGGCGTGCTACACATGATAATAGTTGACAATGTTAGGGAGACAAATAATGCTAGAGAAGGTATATCCTGGCTCTATTAGGACTAGACACATATGTACATAACACATACCCCAGAAATTCAATCATTGACCATAGGTAGGCCTAGATCTCAGGTAAGACAAGACAAGATGGATGCTCGCTTGTTGAGCTCCACTTCTACTACTCTATGCAGTACCTACCCCTTGTGTCTCTGGTCGCGTTGACACTATTTTACTTACTCGGATCAGGGTCTGGCCGAAAGGGTAGGCGTCTAGTCTAACTATGATTTCCATTACCTCACAGGGAGAGTATATTACAAGATCGAATTAGTAGAGCAGGTTCATGTCTAGTGGTACTATTACAGTGTCAGGATTAAGTAGATGTCATGTCAGACTGTGGAGTAGCCATTTCCTGGCTGACTGACTCATTCGCAGACATTAGATACAATCAGATGAGAAAAAACGAAAGAAGAGGCTAAGGGAAATAATTCCCGATATAACTAGATTAGTTCAACCAAGCCAGTTGCCAGGAAGTTGGAAACACTCCATGGCCGTTGTTCTAGAAGATTTTGATCAGGACTCAGACCGGTGGAATGTTGTGGACTCAGTTAATGATAGGCTGCTGGTAGAACAGCTCTTCCCCCCACTGACCCGAGTACCGTAAATTTCTGTTCCTTTTTTGACTAAGCACAGTACCTTTCATAGTTCTTTTCTTGCTTCCCCTTTCCTTTCCCGTGCTGTTGGGTCCGTCTCGCCGATTCGGAGTGGGAAAAACAAAAGCGGGAGAAGGAAAGGAAAAAGAAACCACACCGATGGCGCGATTCCCTTCACTGGGGTATCCAAATAAAAAAATTTCATTGGGGAGGCCTGAAAAAAAAAAGAACAATGAATCTTTACAGTATCGTGGTCGGTCGTTGAAGATGCCTACATGGTAGTAATTATACCATGAACGTAAAAGTCCACACAGTCAAGCCGTTGAATCTCTCGGTATACCGTGCCGGCGTATACAGTATTTCCGGCCTCTATTCGGCTTCTCTCTCCACTCCGTATCGTTCGTCAAGCCCGTAAGCCCTCTTCCTGTCTGTCTTACATCGGAGGTGACCGCTGGCTGGCTTGGGAGCATATGCTTAAGCTTGAGAGGGTCTTCTTTCTCTTACAAACGAATTGATTGGGTGGGAAATTCCGCGCGTTCTTTCCCCGCAATTTTGCTTTTTTCTGCACGCATGCAAGGCAGTGCAGATGTCATTCATTTAGGTAAGGTCTCGTGAGCGGCGACGGAGGTTGAATGGATGAAATGGTTTGAATGGATAATCCACTCGGGATATTTGGCAGTGAACTAGTTGACCGAGGGGGTATCTGAGTTTCGATTCAAGGTTTGGTTTACAAAAAACCATATTGGCAGACAGTGCTACTCCAGTTGGATTAGTTATGCACCCTATATATCTACTGCGATATACTCAACCTCACACCGGTACCGGTTCATTCTTGGAAAAGAACCCCTGAGGTGAAGCCGAGTCTAGGGATGAAGAAAAAACTGTCTCGAAGCTCGATCCTTCATCTCAATATGAGGAAAGGAATTCCATTACGCCAATGAAGAAGAGTACAGAAACACGTGCAGTGGACCGGCAATGGGGGGGAAAAAGTTACCTATTCATACCTGTATACAATGACGTTTTTCCTAGGTATCTTGGAGCTCCTCCAGAAGCTGTTTTCCTTTTTGTGGTGGAGGAGGGTGAAAAGCGTGGTAATAAGCCCGGGAACTCGGGAGGAGAAAGGGGAGGGAGTCGACAGGAAGATTTCTCCTGTTCCTTCCTTCCTTCCCTTTCACGATGAGACGAAAAGGCACATAAACTGACGGAGTAGGTATACATCGGTGGAGCCCTAGCAGCCAAGAAAGGGAGAAGGGAGCTGTAAAAGAAATTTAAATCGACAATATGTCATTGGGAACAAATGTTAAAACGGCATGGATGGAACCATTGGTACCAAATAACACAAGAGCGCGGATAGAGCGCTTCCTTCCTACCCCGCCTTTACGAGATGAAAACCACGTTCGCAGAGCTTTTTTTCCCCAGGGCCATTGTGACTGTGGTACAAGGTGCGTGCCACTTTGTGCTTTCTTTTTCCCTTAACTAATTCACTTCGTCGAGTACATGAATCTATCAACATGGCTCGTTGTCCATCCTTTTTTTTCGAACTGATGACTGTTGATGATACAGTGGCTGCTGGACGACATGTCCTTTAATTTTGATATTGCTTAGCTGCTAGGTAGCAGATATGTCACTGCTGATGATCATGAGTGGATACTAGTATTTCGCTGACGTTTTTGAACTGGGCCATTATTGCATACACCCAAAATCATGAGCTTGGCGTATTTTTGTATGGCATGCAATATCAGTCGCGTCCACAAACGTCAGAGAAATACGAGTAGAGCGAGTCAAGCAATAGTAGTGACCGCATTTCTAATTGATTGCTACAAGGGTAAGGCGGCACTAACATACCCAGCCAGCCTTCAGATCTGGTATGTATGCAATACTGCTTAATCCCAAACCGCTTACATACCATCTCGATTTTAGTGACATCCAGTCAGGGCACCTGGAGGTTCTTTTTCTTCCTTACTTTTTTGGTGATTTAAAGCAGAGTAGAAAAGAAGGGGGTGGATGCAGCCACTGCTAGGAAAGGATTCATCTCAGATGATAGACGACATTGGGGTTGGCCTTGGTGGCTGGTACATAGGTACTGTAGGTAAACCTTTTATTCTAGTTGGTTTGCGGTAGTTCATGTGTGACTGGTTTGCACGATGGATGAGTTGCTATAATTGTCTAAGGATTTGAATTAGAAGGTGGATGCCGATGAGAACTTGTATCAAGATCTAGCAGGACCATGAGTTAGTACTCTAGAAGATAGACCTACATAAGGGATACTAATGTGAGTAAAGTACAGCGCATTGATGACTGCTATTGTTGAGACTTTAACGTTGTCTGTACGGGTACCAAGCCGTTGATGAAGCTATCAGATCTCTCCATCTAGAAAGAAAAAATTCATCCCCTGTTGATTTCTTTTTCTTTTTTGTTCTTCCACTCCTTCCCAAGTTCGTCATCTGGGACAGAACAGTGCCACACGCAGGATTTTCACTGAGTAGATAGAACATCGGCGAAAAAAGAGTACGGCTCTTAGGCCGCCTTTGCACAATTTTTGTTGTTGCGTCGTTCGCAAGGTATCTCTACTTGGTTATGATGGGCGAGGCCTGCTACTACTAGTGTAACTGAAATACTACATTTATATTTTTTTCTTCTTTCACCTAATCTAAACGTACCTAAGCACAGATTCAAAGCATGAGTTGAATGACAGCCTGTAACAGAGTGCACCCTACAATCTTCTGCTAGGTACGACTTACTATATGCACCCTGTAAGTTTTCGGTCTATCTGATCATTAGTTTGTCCTAAATAGCTGAGAGCTGTGAATTCCAGTGAGCTGTGTGAGCGAATGAGCTGGGGCCCTCTAAAGTGACATCTGTCTGTCTATCTCCCTCGGTTCACCCTGCGGTCTTTCCCATCCTCAAAATTCATACACCCCTCACCCCCCTCTTCAATCATAGTCCCTCACTTACCCCCCCCCTCCCCCTTCACCATCTCACCCCATTCATACCCCCATCTACCCACATATCCCATCAATCCCCCTCCCTCATCATCATCATCACTTTCGCCTTCATCACCACCTTATTTCCAAGGTTTCTCACTATCCGGATTGGGTACCCGTCTTGCTGTTCTTTACTAGGGCTTTCCCTCTTTAACTACTTGTTTCTTTCTGCTGCTCCTTCTTAGTAGTGTTACTCTTTCTGGCTGGCTGCTTCTTATTGCTCCTGTTGGAAGGTCCCTTCTACACAACCTTGCTGCTGCTCTGAGCTGAGGCATCGATTTTTACCAGTTTCTCCTACATACATACCTACCCTGCCCCGTGTGTCTAGCCCTCGTGCACTTTTTCTCCATCCTCATTCTCGCCGCGCGCCGCTACGGCTGGTGCCACTGATTACATCCATCCATCACCTCCGACCACCTCATCCAAAGAGCTCTATCGCTAGCATAGGTAGTGTCACTACTCTACTACATACGTACATTACATACTCACATAAACCAACACGGATCTTCATCTGCAACTTGCGCTCTGCTTCGGTTCCACAAAACTTAGGCAAGCAGGAGCATTGGCGTTGCTGCATCTGTCGGCCTAAGAAACCCAACAACTACCCCCCAGAGGTAAAAGGGAAAGAAAAAAAAGGAATCCTAGTTGCGAGACTCGTGCAATTGGGTCTGCTCCACCTGCCCCCTTCGCCCCGCGTTAAACTATAGGAGACACGATACTCCAACAGTTCTGTGTCATCTCCACCTTTCACGATCGATCATTCCTCGAAACAAAAAAGGTAATATCATACGCTCGCCCTCCCCGCATCAACCCAAGCGACCCCAACTGGTCCGCTTGATGTGTGCGATTCATCGGTGGTCCGATCCTCGCTTCCATTGTGGCCGTGTGTGCTTGTGGGGCGCTCCCGCTCGTCCATCTGCCTAGCTAGTGATATAGGAACTTGCTAACTCTGAATTATTACTGTTACAGTCGCATTCCCATCTTGTGCGTCGTTAAAGGGTCTATTTCCGACCCAACACCCCCGCATTCCGCTTTGCGATTCAGACCTTTCCCCACCCCCTACGACGAACGCCCCTGAATTTACGGTAATAATAAAATATCTAGCCGGTTCGAGATTATATTTTGGGTAGAATATTTCACCATCGGAGCTTGTTTTTGTTATATTTTTTCTATTTTCGCATGAGCTGTTGAGCTCACGGCTATGGGAATTGAATCGCATCGCTCACACGATGGTTCGCAATTAGCTACATTATCACCTGGAATTACCCGTATCGAAGACGTACAACAACACCAACATAGAGCAGGAAGTTATCATCCACTAGTAGATCAGCACGATTACCGGTCAGGACATTCGGAAGAAGGCATACATAACATGTCGATGGCTGCAGGAGAACACCATCAAACTATAGGGCAATATCAACAGCCCCATGAGCTTGATGAGAAGCCTCGAGGAAGGGAACGAGATAGAGAGGGTATGGGAGAAGGAAGTGGAACTTCCGGTCCTGGTGGACCACTGAGTAGCAGCACAGAACCTCAAACACGGAAAAGGAGGAGGAGCAGAAAGGGGATGGAGAAAACTTTTACTTGTCCGCAGCCAGGATGTGGAAGGGCATATTCGAGAGCAGAGCATCTCTACCGGCATCAACTTAACCGTAGGGACCCCTTATAACTTTCTTTAAACTATCCTTTGGGTGAGCAGCCGTTTGAATACCCGTATAAGATATTGAAGAGATGGGGAATGTTACAGGGCTGCATATGATTTTTTGCTTTATTTCTTTTCCTGACTTTTTTGGACTTGTACTGGGACAAGGTCCACTAGGTGTGAATTAAAGTGAATCGGGTTTTAGGATGGGTAGTAGAATGGGTGCTGACGGTTGGTGGGCTTTAGATCAACCCAAGCAGATATACTTTTGCGATTTCCCCGATTGCAAGCGGTCATTCGTTCGGCAGGACCTCTGTACACGACATCGTGATCGGCATACAAACCGGGGCTCTCAACTCCAGAGGAAGGACAGCTTCTTGAACAACCCCGTTGGTGCAGCTGCAAGGAATATTCTTCAGGATCGGAAAAATTCGATGACTTCCATGACCCAAGGGTCATCCTCACCCGAGTCTCCAACCACCCCCAGCATTTCGATGAAGGCCGAAGATTCACCGATCATGACACCGAATGGAATACATTCTAGAGGACCTCTGGATATGACCGCTTCCCCTGAAACGTCCTCGGCAACATTGCCTGGCTCTTCAAGTGTTTCAACACCTGCAGCTGAAAACCGGTCCAAAATTCGCAAGATCTCGGCCGATCACTCGCACCCAGGTCAGCGTATGTCAAATGGAAGTATTGATGCGGGAAGAAGGTTTAGCATGGATTCAAGGTCACAGTCGATTTCTGAAGCCTCGCAAATGAACGGTAACCAAATGTATGCTGGTATGAATCATCAGAATCAACAGGTTTCTCAGGCCAATAGACCGACTATTCAAACCATGGCTGGAACACCCAACATGAACGGTCTATCCTTACAGTCGCCTTTTTCCGCAACATCTTCATCTTCGGGAAATCCTTATTCAGGGCACCCAGCTACTGCCGGCGTATCTATGCCAATGGCCTCAGGCGCAGCTTCGAGTCCAGGGACGTTTGTTCCTTCGTCTGCATTCGCAACATTCTCTCTCCCTCAACCAGCTTACCCAAACCTAAGTCAGAGCAGTGCGCCGAATAATGGGCACACTGGATACATAACCTCACCACCTACTAGCTCGTCACCTGGAGACCAACAAGGGCCTACTGGAGCTGCTACAACCTCTGCGTCGGACTTTGACATCATACAGTATACCATCCCGATGTTTGGCGGAGATGGGTATACTCGATCCCCAAACTGGATGGCTAACGATTTCGCGTCTTGGTTCTTCGATGATCCTTCAATGGGAATTAACTCGCAGAGGCAAGCTTCAATACCGGGCAGCTATGTAGAAAATCTGAATGCCATGTCTCCTCAAGGTTACTATATGACGGGCCACGACTTCAGCGGTGGAGGTTTTTATCCTTCTCCTTTGCCACAACATCCAATGTCAGTCACCAGTCTTATCGCGCCTCCAAGCCCGCCTCAGGAATCTCTTCTGTCAGAGCACAGAAGACTAGAACTGGTAGACATAATTGAGCAATCGATTAACGCTGAGGACCTGGATGAGAACCTCTTGAGCTTATGCATGATGCAGTCGTATATCTCGGATTACTGGACTCATTTTCACCCCCAGCTACCCATCCTTCACCGGCCAACGTTCTCTGCCGACAAGACGCAGAACTATCTACTTATCACAATAATTGCCATTGGAGCTTCCATGATGGAGTATAAAAGGGATCCTACAACAGCAGAAGCAGCATGTGCGCTAGCTGCAAAACTGGCGGTTGGTGTCCGATGGTCAATATTTGCCGATCAGGATTTTCGGCCTCCAGCAAAACTTTGGGTATTTCAGGCTTTACTTCTTTTGGAGACCTTTGAAAAGATGTTTTCGAGTAGGCAGCTTCATGAGCGTGCGCATATTCACCATGCTACTACGCTCACTCTGATGAGACGAGGATCTTCGTTGACTGGAAGGTGTGCCTACGATTCCCCACAAAGCGGTCGTGATGTGAAGTCCAACAGTGAAAGCGGTAGTGTAATATTTTCTGGCCAAATCTCCGGAACAAATACTCAAGACGAAAACTGGAACCGGTGGATTGTTAGCGAGGCAACAAGACGAGCGGCCTTCGCAGCCTTCGTGCTAGACTCGACCCACGCCACAATGTTCGGTCATTCGGCAGTCATGGTTGCACATGAAATGCGATTACAGTTACCTTGTGACGAGACCCTATGGGCCGCAACAAGTTTCAGCGAAGTGTGCAAAATCGAGCAGTCTCTGAACCAAGCAGGAGTCAAGCAAACAACCTTCCTGGAAGGACTGAAGAAGACTCTGAACGGGCAGAATGTACGAACAAACTCCTTCGGGCGAACAATCCTCATGGCTGGTTTGCTCAGCGTAAGCTGGCACATGCATCAACGAGATCTTCAAGTGACGTCCCTCGGCGTTGCAACCCAGCTAGGCGGACAAGTCAAATGGCGCCAAGCACTAACCAGGTCTTTTGATCACTGGAGGAAGGATTTTGATGCTGCTTTGGCTGGCATTCGGACAACCTTTGAGGGTATGGATTATTTTATTCCCTCAACTGAGGATATAGAGCATGAAAATATCTTCGAAAGTCGAACCGTTTTGCACCACTTAGCCCACATGTCAATGCACGTCGATATAGTGGACCTTCAGATCTACGGTGGCGCGAAACGTTTGTTGGGTCGAACCATAACACCAAACGATGCTGGCATGGCTCGTAAGCGGATGGAAGCCTGGGCCCCTAGCGCGAGGGCGAGAGATGCCACATTTTACGCCCTTCGATTCTTGAGCCAGGTAATGCTGCCAGAAGAGCGATTAGACATGTCTTTCGACAATGAGCATCCAGGGACGCCGGGATCAATAAAGAGAATGGCCGCAACTACAGGGGTGCCGATATACAACGCTCGAGATGACCACCTTCTCAACCGACCTTGGGTTCTTTACTACGCTTGTTTAGTCGTTTGGTCCTATGGATTTGCGCTAGAAGGCGTCCTTAAGGGGCCCATTCGACTTCCGACAACCAGCCAAGAGAAATATGCAGATATGAGGGCGTATCTAAACAGGGTAGCAACTGTACCTTCGCCGGAAGGGCTGACGGAAATTCGTGACAAGAATGCCACTTTGGGGCTAGTTATGACTTTGCAAGAGATGTTCCATAATTCGGGCTGGGAACTATTGGACGAGGCGTCGCGATTGCTACAGCAGTGTATCAGGATTTTGGTTGGAGAAGTCCCACAGAAGTGATTTCATATGTTTTCTTTTTATGTCTTCAATTATTTCAAATCAGCATCTTTCCTTTGTTTGGATGGATTATTTGGGTGGAATTTGTGCTCTTTTCTTTTGTCTGGTTTGGGAGGAACAATCTGCTTTATTCTTAACTTATTTCCACTCGCACAGTCCTATCCCCATTTCAGCGTTTATATTATTATCATATATATCGGTATATATACTTAACCTTGTCCCTTTCGTTTATTCTATTTTCTTTTATTTTACTTTCGTTGGGTGTGTAGGAGGGGCTTACATCTTCTTATTACTTGACATATTCCGAACTCATTTAAGTGGTATTTTGGTTAGTTTTTTTCCGGCGTAATCCCTTCCGCGCGTGTGGGTTTTTATTTTTGATGAGGTTCCTTTTTACGGTCTATCGTTTCGCACCTGGTTTCATATACCTATTTCTTTGGTTTGTTGGGAGTAAAATGATACCAAAAAACTTTGTACTTTTTGATGGAGCAGTGAGTCAGTCACTGTGTGTATGCTAGCGTTCGTTTCGTATTCTTTTCTTTTCTCTTCTTGACCCAGGCTCAATTACTTTTTTCTTCTCTTTCTTACTTCAAGGGCTGGCTGGTGTTCCTTTTTTCTTATTTTGTAGTAGGGATGATATTTATGTGTGAGATCAAATCCGTTGAGTGTCAATCCAAAAGACATCTCGTTTTACTTCCAATCGAAATGGGTCTTTGCATGGTGTTTCGTCCCCCCGGTCCTGTGTCGTCATTGGGGAGGTGGGATATGTGGTTTGTTTTGTGTGGCCGATATGGGCTGACGAGCTCATCTCCGAGTGACGACCTTCATCTGGCTAGTCTTTCCACATCAATCGATCGTGGATTGACAACTCGGCGTTTTTTTTCTTCTCTTTTTTTTCAGTCTCTCTTCTTTTCTTTTCACGTTGCTAGCTAGGATTCTTTTTTTTTTTGTCTTTCTTTTTCGGCGATGATGGCATATCGCATGGCATAGGTAAATAGTAACCACGTCTCAGCAACCACATACATGTATTATTATTAATATTATGGGCAGGGCTGCTTAAACCAAAATTATCCAATGCAAAGTTGCCTATCTACTCTACTCTACACTTATTTGTGAAGTTGTGGATTCGTATGGCTGCCCTAGTTAGAGCTACGCCAAGTTATGGATCGGTCAGGGACGAGATATAATGTACATGTATGGTACCTATTCAACCAGGCAACCAGTCATTGACATCTGAATATACCGGTTTATTAGATTGGTCGATCAAGCGAGAGTAACTCACCTAAGATCAAAATTGTACAAGTAGCCTTATTGGTAGGGTGTTTTTCGTTATCTCTCTTATATAAGGTTTAACTACATATATGTATGGGTGATGAACGTCTCATGCCTGCCGTGTACGTACTAGGGAACACTCAAAGTAATCCTGCGAAGAAAACTCTAGAATGTTGCCTTAAAAGATCCCACGGTGAAACTGTGGGGAGCACTACAAACTGAATTGCGGGAACATCGTGGGGGTGTCAGAGCCACGATATATATATCGAGCTCTAACAATCATCTTGATTAAACGTTCGGGCACGTGCCTACAACACCCGCAAGTAAGCAAAGAAGCGTGCACGACCGTACTACATGTACTATGTTCTTCGAGAACCTCTAAACGATTCTAAATTAATCCACTGGTAAGTTTGGTTGGAAGATATGAAACGACTTCTTCAAACTTACCGTTGACCAGACACCAGTTAACTGCCAAGGTATCAGAGCCCATACATGCTTGATTTAACGCTTGATCCGATAAGATCGATCGCCCGGCATCACCTTAGTCGACAGCACATTGATTGTGTGATATGATGCAGGGGCTGGCGAGGATAAGGGCGTGAAGATCAGCCTGCGAATCTGGCGACATGTAGAGTATGTGCAAAGTACGGGGTTGCTCACCACCGAAGCAGGTCTTTTTTGGTTAACCGCGAGTACCCATCCTTCAGCCCCGGATAATAGCCATTTAAGGCTTTCCTTAATTGCTTCATATGTTGCTGAAGAGGATAAAGGCACACCATATCAACCTATCTCAGAGGCCTAGGATTGTTAGTTTGAGAAACTAGATTGAATTCATCATCCGCTATCAATAATTAGAGCATTCTATCTAGTACTGACACCCTCCCTATGCAGAATTAAATTCTGCATGTGGCAGGTAGCCCAGCGGGGTGCATAGGAACCACCCAAACCTGGCGCCCCCGGGATCTCCTTGCCAATAAAAAACGATGGTTACCCCACGAACACTGGTTCATCCGATGTTCCATAGGGTTCCATAGGGTAGGCTCCTTCGCTACGTGCGTCTATTCCCTAGTGCCATCCCCAGATTTATTGAGATCGTACGTGTGTTACCCCCACGCTCACGCTTGTTGTTACCCCCACGCAAGCGCCGGAAAACACGGTATTTTATCCGTAATGCTTCCCTCGGGATTGGTAACTAGACTTGAGATAACGCCTTTCCCTTCCTTTGACAGAGTAGATAGGTACGTATAAGTACCTAAATCGCGAGTGAGGCTTTTTCCACGCGGGTCTGATCATGGGCGCCACCAAGCACGTCAGTAAGTTTGTTTAGAATTTGAATTCCGCTAGGTGTGTGCGTGCTCTACATAATAGTTAATACCTCAAAGATGTTATAAGTGCGAAACAGTGACTCAGATAGTAGGCAATACTTAAACGATAAAGCAGTTGTAATGCAAATGAAATTGTATGCCTAAGGTGAGACACACCACGCCCATTAATTCGAGTTTTAAAGGAGTGTCTGGCACGTACATGGGTATGGCCAATTACTAAAACCATTTTCTCAGTAGAAACATCATTCATATAATCATCGATTTATGATCACAAGGGTGCAATATTGAAACACCTCCGACTAGAAGGGTAATAGTGGTCCACAAACCTCCGAAGATATTCTACGGCTTTAGAAAGTAGATCAGTTCTAGATCTCATGAACCCCCCCGGATGAACTGAGCTTGTGCAAACAGCCAGGACATTTGCGAGCAGGTAGACCCCAGCTTATTACATACCTTTTATTTATTTTTTTCTTTTTACTGATATTCTTTTTCTTCCAGTAATAAGTGTTTCATCTGGAGATAGATTTGACTAAAGTTAGAAACCACTACCTCCACAATTAATCAATCAAACCACTACCTCCACCCTAGCGCCAAGCCTGGGGATATCGAGTGATATATGGTGCGGATTGAATCCCAACTATCTTTTTAATAGTCTAGGACTCTCGCCGAGTAAGAGATATTAAAAAATTCTTTTCTTTCCACTCATAGCGTCTCACGGCTCATTACACCCAGTTGAGCTACTTAGGTGAGCTTGAGGCTTACGATTTGAGTTAGAAGCCGATCAGATTGGGTTCCAAGGAAGATAGACCGTCGGATAATCCAGCTTGCTTCGTGAGTGGTCAATTCACTTCTAGGCTTTTAGCGTCCGGCTCAGCTTTGGTGAAGATCGGAATCAATTTGGACCCTTGAAATCACTGTCAATGACAGTGACGTGATTTTCTAGAAGTTCAACTGGTCAATAATTTGTCGCATGAACGGTTATCAAGAATGGCTAAACCAATCGAGACAGTTGGAATTGATCTGTCAACGGTCAAGACTGCACCGATCTCCTATTGAGCCAACGGTTCCAGCAAATCGGTTGGAAATATAAATGTAATTTACTACTGGCTCCTGTTGAGGAATGTATGACGACCTCTTAGCACTAAGTGCAGCATAGTTATTCTTAGACGACAAAGGAAACTAAAATCCCTGGATCAACCATACCAATGAAATTGTAGAGTCCGTAAAATAAATCCTATAGCCCCTAGTGGCCTGCCATTTTAGCGGGTAAGCCGGTTAGTTTTGATCATGTATACGAGCTTTTATCCGGTTTACTAGTCTAGTTAGCTGGTTTTGGTTTGGATTTAATCTTCAATGATTGGAAACGCCAGTGTCCAACGCCAACGAAATAGTTCATGAATTGCCAGCAAATGTAGGTCACGAGCTAAGGTAAGATAACGTGGGTGTGTTGGGTTAACCCGGATCTTGATGAAGTCCACTCATGTGATATCGTCTAACTCTGGTATATGTCCCTCATATCTTCTCAAGACACCTCGAGGCAAAGATCTTGTATTAAAATATTTGTCTCAGTAATGTGGAGCACGCTGGCTGTAGAAGTTGCATATAATACCTGCGCAATCCAGATACTGGTAGGCCCGGATCAAATTCTCAAACTCTACTCCTTAATCGTTCTAGATATCTTTTATGGCCCAAAGACCTCGAGCTTCTGTACAGCACTCTCTAGTCCTTTGACCTGAAACAGCAAACATTTGGGTGGGAGTATAAAATAGCGTTCGATGGCTGATCTCCAGCCTAACGCTGTATAGATTGAGAAAGTAGCTATATAAAATGCCTCGCTCTCGTCCTATCAACCTAGGAATTTTAAAGGGGAAACGGTGTTGAATATACGTACCGAGTGATAATCTGTGATTATACCCATCAAAGTCTGGATGGCTATATATATGCCGGGGATAAAGGTAAAAGGGGAAGCCAGAAAAAAGATTGGCTATACACCCGTTCGTATGGTAAATAAAGGCTCCATTAAGCTACTGTAAAGTCGAGGGGGGGGGGGGGGGGGGGGCTTCTGGAAAGTAGAATGATGATTTAAGCAGGGAAAGATGCTCTATGCTATGTCAGGGGGTCGAAGGATACTGTCATTTCCACAGTGCTTGGGACATCGCTGTCAGCGTTGCCCGTTGTGTCCCATAAATATGGGACAGTATCAGGTCAGCCAAGTGGATGTCCCTTATTATTCGGGCGGTCAGAAAAACAAGGAGATGCCGGCAAAAAATGAGGTGTGCCGTTATAGAACTTGATTTCACATTCATGAGCTACCTGGTCATGCTTAGTATCTACTCTATTCTTCATTATCATCCTTGGGGTTTTCATAGTTTAGAGCCATGCTTTTCTCAACCTTGCAGACCTACG